TCATCATTACTTTCCTGGTTGTTAACAAGATTCTTCAGCAAAAGGTTTTTCTGTTGTTTCGATGTCACACATGTGAATGACATATCAATTGCATCATGTGAAGTGATGTCACTGATGTCTAATGGGTCTGATTTCTCAAGGTGAACACAAGCTCCTTCTACACTTTCTATGGGTGTTTCTATGGTTCCTGAAGATCTCGAAACTGATGATGATGATTCATTTAACTGATCTGCTGTCTTGTTTGAGTTTCTTGAATTTACAGTATCTCCATGAGATTGACTTGTGGGAGATTTGGCTCGTTTAGATCGTCTTTTTCTTGGTGGACGCTTGTGGAACTTTCCAGCTTCATCATAATTCCATGATGTTCCCTCCTTACAGTCCTCTTGGCGTTGGCGTTCCAGATAAGATTTTTTGGACTCAACAATTTGCAGTGCGACATTTTCATCTTCTGAGCTTGACTCCTCAGCTTCTGTTACATCATACATGAAACTAGAATGTTCTGCTGGTTTTTGAGGTGACAAACTAGGTACTGCCCTAATAGACTCAGAGATGACTGGAGATTGTTTACTAGAACTGAAAGCAGGTTGAATGCATGATGCTTCACTGAAGCTGAAGCTTCCAAAGTGCACGACTGTTAATTGCTCATCATCATCTTTTGCTAAAGATGCATCAGCAGAACTCATAGAGGAAGCTGGTAGAAGACGCTCCAGTAACACATGTGACTCTGGCATAGGTTGAGTGGATGGAGAGATTGACTGAGGAGGTGCACAACTCCTAGGACTCGGTGCATCTCCTCCACTTGATTCGTTTGACTGAAAGAGTTATAGATAATAAATTATAACTCATGATTTACCAAAGTTTTTAGTTCTCTCTAAATCTACCACTTGTTCCCTAGATAGCATACAGAAAATTACATTATTTACTTACCTGTTCTGAGATGTCACTTAACCGTGATGATAGAAAGTCAACACCTAGAAAATAATTCAAGAGATAGAGCAACCATAAAACATTCATTAACAAATAAACAAATCTGCTCACTTTGTTTGTAACTTGTGAATTTAAAGGAATATTACCTCTTTGGGGTGGAACCCTCTGGGGGCCCCGCCCTAAGGGTACAGGAACTATTAATCTCTGAAGTGGCACAGTTGGATTGGTAGAAATGACTTGGCCTTGCACCATTGGACGAGCTGTACCTTGGGTAAGCGTTGAAGTACCAGATGAATCTGAAATTAAAATCTTTATCAGAACAAAGTTTGAATATGCATAAAAATAAACAGGGCGTAAAGAAGCCCTGATAAATTCAATTTACCCTTATTATGAACTCTTGCCACTACAGAGGAGGTATTGGGTCCTACAGGAGAACTGGAGGTCCTGGCTGTTGGTGCAACTATGACAGGACTCTGACTGGAGCTTGCTAACAGGTTGCTCGGTTGTTGGACAGGAGCCAGCTCTGGGCAAAGGGTCCCAATTTTTTGGTTAACAGCAACTATTAAATCAGATGCTTCAATCATCAAATCCAAAGCACTCTGGAATTTCTGAAGGCCTGCTCTAGCTGCACCAGC